AACCTCAGAAGATGCAATGCAAATATTCAGACCTCTTTTCCCCCACTATATATACAGTATATTGCATTTCACAGGTCTTAATCATATTGCCCCCATGACAACATCATTTCACCCTGAGGCATGCTGACATCATCTCTTTCAGCGCCTTTCTGTCAACTCATCTTCATCTTTAGAATAAAATACAAACTTGGCCTCGAAACAAAGAATTCAACAGAACATATTTTGTCTGCCTCATGATGCAACATTGTGAAACCGTGCAACAATTTTGGGTTATTTTGCCAAAATTACAGCCATCTGCGGGTGTGTTGACCTCTGAATGCGAGCCACGGCCCTCCTGCCACCGGTGGTCTCAGCAAGCTGTTTAACTTTGGACAAACAGAATAACAAATGTTTTTTTCAAATGTGAAAAATAACGTTTCATATTCAGGTAGCACACTGTTGTATCTTGAACTATTCCCTTACAATGTTTACTCTTTTTCATGGTTTATTTCATCAACTTGTCAATGTGTTTTAAAAGTAGGCTTATGACTTTCATTCTTTAGCGAGCTTATAGGCAGGTTGCCAGTCTGAAAGGTTACATCTGGATCATGAGTTGCGGTCCTGATTCATTATTTTTTGGAGGCACCTGGAGGATACTTTTACACCCACCTTGATCAATCCTTTTATACACTTTCACATTATAATTTTTCGACATGTGGATTCTCTATGTGGTCATTTTATTATCTATTTTAAACTATACACATGACATGTATTGCATATCTGTCCATCCTGGAAGAGTTATCCCTCCTCTGTTGCTCACTCGTAGGTTCCCTCAATTTGTTTAGGGTCCGAGGACAGAGGGTGTCATTTGCAGTAAACACTATTAACCCCTCTGAGACAAATGTGATTTTGGGCTTTATAAATAACATTTGATTGATTGATTGAGGTTGTTGTGTTGACATCTAATGATTATCTAGGCTGTCTTGCTGACTTTAACACAGGCAGGTCCCTCTCTGTCTGCTAAAATAACCCATGCACACAGCACTGAGAGTTAGCCTCCATTCCCTCTGCCAAACACCCAGTTTCTGCTGGGAGCTCAGAAAGTCCCCCCCTGTGGCATCACCAGGCACCATCTGCCTCACCCCTCACAGCGGCTGGACGCCCCTCTCCCATCCCTCCCTGCAGCCGAGGTCAGTCCAGTCCATCTCTTATTTCCTACAACCCTCAGTGATATAGAGTGTGCTCTTACTTTGTGATACCGGAAATCTGCCTCAGGGGTTGACCACACGCAGGCGGACATTTCTCATGTGACAGACTTTTCCCACATACAATGGAAACCCTGCACACCTTCTACTAATGTATAACCCAGCAGGAGCCAGGCCCTCAGGCCAGATGTGTAGAATCAGAGGCATGAGTGATTAATAACCCATAGAGCTCATTTTCGGCTTCATGTGGGAAAAAACGAGTGTCTCGCACTAGGCTGGCAGTCTAACAGCACATCCGCTGGCCTCCTGGACTGAGTCTACACTAAAGCTGCTGGAAGAGTGCCACCCTACGCTCAAGGTCAGTCTTTATCCTTGCTCCTGGACAGGCAGGTGAGAGCCCTTAGGCAGTGATAGCAACACCAAAAGGAAACCCTGAGTATGCCCTGTGTGTAAGACAGGAAGCCAGTATGGGTATTAAAAGTATAAGGCAGCACCAAAGGGAAGAGACCGCCACATGTTTGATAATCACCACCCTGCCTATGAATTGGATTTGTCCCGCTCCACTTTGACTTCTGTAATGAGCCCTCCTTGTTCCTAGTGACCCATTCCTCTGGTGGAGTGTCCTTTCACACTGAGGGCCATTTGTTAGCTGCGAGAGAGAACTCCCCTTCCAAGCTGCAGATTGCACTGTGTTGTTTTTACTCTATTTGACCATGGCAGGAAACTCTCCCTCAAAAACAACTGAAACAGAGACAGTCCTCTGTTGATCTTGTTTTTTGTTCATTCCTAACTAAAATGGGTCATCATCATTGGTGGATAAAAATGAAAAATGGCCTACTTAGCACTAATTCAGCTACCCCCTGCACTATTTCCAACAGTAGCCAAAGCTGTAAGATCCCCTGAGTAACATGAACAGGCTCATTTTAGCACAAAAATCCTTATTAGGTGAAATAAAATGATACAAAACCCAAGAGTGTGATGGACAGACAGGTACAATGAGGTGAAGTAGAGCTGAAATCAAAGGAAGAGACAAAAGGGAGAGGGGAGTGGGAAAAAGCAGATAAAAAGGAATAAAGGAGAAAGTCAAAAACGCATTAGTGAGAGGAAAAAAGAATAAGTAAAAGAGAGATGCAGTTGAGGTAGTAATAATAGGGAGTATAAAAGGAAGGGAAATGGAGTGAGAGTCTGAATTTGCATGACATTAAGTGTCTCCTCTCTTTGTTTTATTATCTGTCGCAGTAACAGGTGTATTCTGCCCGGGGTAAGCGGGGTAATCATTTGACCCGTGTATTCGCTGATAGTAGATATTAAATTGAATTGAAGACAAACACTCCCTTCACTGTGATATGACCTTGAGGAGAAAACCAAATCAAAATGTCCACAGCATCTCAATAAAAGCTCCTATACTGTAAGCAGGTGGTAATTCAAAAGGAAATAACCGAGCATAGCGGATCAAACAACTAACACTGTTGGTGTTTGTGACCTCACTGTTTATCGCAGGTGAGCAATTGGAAACAACCCTCCCTGTTCAGTTGTGCCAAGTTATGAATATAATAAGCAAAAAACAGATATATTGCCAAATCCTAGAAACTAACAGTGTGCAAGCAGATCATTAAAAAGCAACTGGCAGGAGATTCTGATACACTTCTGTGCACAGTTTAAAGGAAGACAGCAAGTGAACGGCTGGCAGAGGTTCACTTCTTGGGAATGTTTTTTTTCTTGGTTCAACCATCTGCCAGCGGAGAGAGTTTTCATGTTGTGAGTTAAATGCGACTGAGATGTCTTTATTTTGATGACTTCAGTCTTTAACAGACATCTTGGGCAGCTATGGAAAACATAGGCAGTTATTTTAATTGTTTTTACAGCTATTATGGTTTATTATTATGGGGGAAAGTAGCCACATCTGTTTGCAGTCTAAATACTTTTTAAATATTATGACAATATGCAGTATGCTATTCCGCTGTATCTTCTTAACCCATCTTATTCTATTTTACATGTCTGTAGTTTAAATATTTCTGCATTTTACTTTCAGCATTGTGTCCTATGCACCTTTCTCTTACACTATTTACATTTATTATAATGTAAGTATATTGTATGTTGCATTGTTGGAGGAGCCTCGGCTTTTCACTGCGAAAACGTTGCTGTAGCTTTTCGGCAATTGACGATGAAGACTTTGAATCTAATGCAAATGTTTCCCAAACCAGGAGAACATAAAATAAACTACAAAACACACCATGGGTGGACAGATATGTAAGTGGTCTTCTCTCCAGAAGGCTAATATGCAAATGTCCCCAAATGACAAACTATTTTTGCTTGATAGGTGCAAAGAAAATCATCAAATTTCTCTCTGACTGGTATATATGACCTATATTTATCTTGTTTGTGTGTTCAGACCCCTCATTGAAGCTTCATGATGTTTACGCTGAAGGACATTGGAGATATTTAGATGGATGTGGAGAGAAAAGAAGGATCAAACATTCAGGTGGCGTGGCCCTTTATTAAAATCCGTGCCAATGACGAACGCACTCAACCTCAAATTTATTCATAGATGTATTTATAATGCATGCCCACAGAATGAATGATTCCCATGCATCTGAGCAGAGCACGTGTGTGTGTGTGTGTGTGTGTGTGTGTGTGTGTGTGTGTGTGTGTGTGTGTGTGTGTGTGTGTGTGTGTGTGTGCGCGTGTGTGTGTTCCAAATTATTGACGGAACATCTATTCAGGATTTTTTCATTTTTCGTCTATGCCATTGACATTTTATTTCCACTCATGTTTTAAGTATCATATTAATTAATCCATGAATTGATTAATTAAGTACTTAATGAATTACATTTCTGTTCCAGTTTGCGACTGAATAGCAGCAGTCACACTCATTGGCCATATTCATGTAACATAAAGAAACTAATTCACAAAGAATCTCTCCAATTACGTGATCATTTTAGCTTGGTTGTGTTTGATATGTTAGAACGGATATCATCTGACGACATACTTATAGCTGGTAATGATGAGAATATTACTGCAGTGTTGTGAAGTGAGATGTTTCTGCAGCAGACTTTAATTGTTGCTTGCTGTTTCAAGAAATCTTATTAAAAAATTGATAAGCCAGATTAATAGGAAAAGGCTTTGGTACCGTTTACTCTTTGTAGGACACTGATTCATAATATTTTTATTCAATGAGTTTGTGCCTTTGTACGTAATTGATGTCATGTTTTGTCTTCTCCTTTTCTGGATCTTTTTTTATCCGCCTTTCTGTATTAAAAACAAAAAAAATAGACCTAATTTTTCACTCTGTACTCCTGTACAGATTGAAAAATTAGGCTCAAATTGTCTGACTGTTGAAGCCCAATTTAATTCAATTAGAGTCAAGCAGTAAAATATTCTCCTTCAGATAAGTGTCAATGCATGTAGCATCTGTTATTGTGGTTAATGAAACCACAAATAGGCTGTAACATCAGTAGGCCAGATGCCCCTGTTTTATTTATTTATTTACTCCGTATATGGGAAAAAATGTGGCTTCTTTATTGTTCATTATGACTTTAATTGGACACCTGTTACTGGTCCAGTAGCCTACACATGTTGTAATCGGACATGTACTGGTGTTAGATTGAAGAGGGGAAGCAGTGATTGCAAAAACCTAAGAGTGAAATTAAACTCTTTCTCAATTTGCTGGAGAACCCTAGAGCCTCTCCTGAAAACCTCTAGAGCTGCCTTTGAAAATAACTTCCTCTGAAAGCTATGAAAAAAAACCGCATTTACACTTTCGTCCTCTAGGTGTCTCCCTCATATTCTTCCCCCTCTCTTCAGAGTGCATGTACCGCTCTCTGCACTCTCCTCGACTGTGCACAACAACAATGGCGGAAGTCGCTTCTTTCCTGTGAGTTTTTAGTGAATATTTATTAAATAAAACAATGTCAGCTTACACATGTGAAGTCAGATTGTAAGGAGTTACGTATCGTGTCAGTGCGTGTGCTTTCCATATCACAAAAGTCCGTGTTTCTGTGTGAACACGGGGCATTGTGGCTCGCGCGTCTCGTCATTCATTTGCACACAGCTGCAGTCGGTGTTCACCATCAGTCCTCAAACAAGTCAAAGTCCAGTTTGCACAGGAAGTGTTGAAATAAATGTCTGTTTATTTAGCTTATGATTCACTGGTTTAATGGTATTGTTTTAACATTAGAGTGTTGCATCACGAGCTGCTGCTTACACGTGCAAACATTAACATAGCACCTGCATATATTATTTCTACAATACACCAGTGGCTGTGTGATTGATTGATGAGGGTTGCTGATGCAAAACATGAGTATAATAAACAAGATTTAAAGTTTAAACAATTTTACTAACACGAAAACATATTTGAAAACTCTTTACAAAAATAATAATTGGGTGCAGATATTACAGTTCTTTCTTTACCCATGCCAGCAGATGTTTATAATTGACCACCTTTAATACATATCACATAAATGATTTGTCAAATGCATACTATTACAGAGAGCAAATAATATATAAATATACACGTTTCAGTGTTATTCAATACATTATAATTAAATATGTATAAAAGAGATCACACAAGTTTAAACAAGATGATAATCCAAACATACCAATTTAAAGTAAGAGTCAAGCATAACATGTTGGGATAAACATGAAAATAGAATCATTTTCATGTAATTATGGGACAATATAATGTTTACACAATCCCTCTTTATGGCAGCTAGTGTTAAATACATCTGCCAAACATACATACATAGTTCAGTCTGTGTAGGAATTAAGTTAATAATTGAAGGGGAAAGGACTGTTAATATTGAGGGGAGGTGCCAGGAGGTTGTAAACGGTTCAGCAGAGTTAAAGGTATTATTGTGACGGACGTATACACAGGGCTTTCTTCACTTTCTGAAACCTGGTATACTCAGCTGTAAATCTTAAAGGTGAGCGAAGGGAGGCCTGGCTGCAGCATTGAATAAGCTAAAGCCTTCTCATTATGCACTGCATGATTGGTTGTTGCTTAATTATGCTTTAGGGCTGAAGCTAATGATACATTATGAAATTATCTGCCAAAATCTATTTCTTGATTACATGCAATTTTTGAATGATGCCGATTCTAATTTAAATAATCAGATGCCAAAGTGTTTCAGCATTCAACAGTGCTACAAATACAAATCTTACTATCATATGTTTTAAAGAAATACCAAAAATTCACACATTGCAGTAGCTGGAACCAGCATGTGTTTTTCTTGTACATTTGATAAAAGGATGATTTTATTAATCAATGAATAGAAAATAAATCTGCACTTCTTTTGATAACCGATTAATAATTCCAATCGTCCAATCTTTTTACTTTAATGTTATTAATAACGTAATATCTTGTCAGACAGACAACAAATTAAATATAATGTGTCCCAAAGAATGTGATACATTTTTTATTATACATTTTCATCAACATTTACATCTTCGCATTCATTAATTATAACAATATATATATTTGTTGTGTCAATATTGTATTGTATTGTGATCCAACCTCAGTCTTATTGTGTGCCTTTGTGCATGTTGTTGTCAGTCTGCTTGGCAATAATGAGCCCATAAGGCTGGGGATAAACTGGGATTAGGGACATGTTGGAAAAGAATAACATATCAAAACAAGAGCAGTAGTAACATGTCTGCGGTCCTCTCCTCAGTTCCAGTTGAGTGGACTGACTGAAGACAAGCGTCTGTAGAGGCTGGCCATGGATGAAGAGTTGACACCTTTGGACTGCCTGCTGCCTTCAGGTACCGCTCCTTTAAACACACATTCCCTCGGTGCAAAACACAATCAATCAAACACACAGGTCGGTGCACATACAGTGTGTTCACCCAGAAGCTACAAATCAGGATCCAAACACAGATCTGTGTGTGTGTGTGTGTGTGTGTGTGTGTGTGTGTGTGTGTGTGTGTGTGTGTGTGTGTGTGTGTGTGTGTGTGTGTGTGTGTGTGTGTGTGTGTGTGTGTCTGATCAAAACACACACTCACTCTCATCACTGTCACACTCGTCTTCCACTCTCCGCTTCTCACAGTCACTCTGACTCACAGACGCAGTCTTCTGGGTGTTAAAACTCAAAAACAAATCACATTCATGACAACAGCGTGTATATGCATGAGATGCACTTCTCTGTGTCTTTTTTGTTTGGATGCGTAAATAATGAACGGATGATGAAAGATGTGTTTGCTTGTAATGTAATGAGAGAAAAACACTTTCCGGAGGCATTTTCATGAGTTAAACATTATCTTAAAATAAATAATGTCTCTCTTGAATAAATTCCCTGTCATATAAATTCCTTCATTTTGAAAAACAGCACTGGAAAACTAGATTTAATCTGAGATTTGACTGTGAAACCCTAGAAAGTGTATTCTCTCCACTCGTTTGCAGCAAGGTTGATGTTTTCGAGACGTTCTGTATGTATTGATGCTGTATAATGATGATGGAGCACAGATTGGCCTAGAGGAGGAACATGGTCATGGCTGCCTTTAGCCGCTGCTCTCAGGTCAGCTCCCTGGTGCTAAGAGTGTGGAGAAAGCTAAGCAGAAAGCAGCCTAAGGGTTAACGTTTTACCCAGAGCTGTAAAGGTCAAGGGGAACAGTTTGGCCTGTAGAGGAGACAGCAGCACATTTCATTCCTTCCCTCTGTTATGTCCGTCTTCTTTTTACATTGTATTTTTGGAGATCCATTATATAAAGAGCAAATAACTTGAAAATGTTCTCTATGTACATTATTAAGGCTGCCATCGGTTGAGTAGCAACACACTCTGTCCACATGTAATAGTGTTTTCACTGGCTACTGTCCACACACAGAAATATATAAATAGACTTCTTAGGAGAGAAAGTTGTGTTCCCAGAAAGCTCAGCAGGGTCAGGGCTTTTGCCTCGCTCATCATCTTTGGGTTGATCAAATAATAGATGAATGTAGGTGAATGACATTCCTGGGGTGATTTGAGAAAGAAGTAATGCAGGTTTCTTTAACCTGACACAGTTTGGACAGCTTTTATCAAGCTGAACATGATTTATCGTGCCTTGTCCTCTTTGTGAGCTCATCCATAGAGTGAAATGTGGAAAACACACCATTTACCAAGGTGCAATGCCAAGGTCTGGGTTTTTTGTATAGGTTTAGGTGATTTTACAAGAGCTTGGAGTTCTCAAAAGTAAAAAGATAGAGATGAACACACTCCTGAACGAGTAGTTGTAGCTTGTTCTAAAAAGGATTTAGTTTAACTGACAAAAAAACAACAGCACAATTTGATATAAGCAGACAAAAATCAAGGTTCTTATTTTTAGATAACTGCATGCTAATAGCCTTCCTATAAGTCCTCCCATCCAATACAAACATAATCTGTTTTTTATACACATACAAACTCGAACATATGGCCATATATGATTAAGCAATCCACCAACAGAAGATAGTCTTAAACTGCTTTTATAATCAATGTAAATTACTTTTTCTAGCAATAAAAATACAAACATTCTCCAGTTCTTGCTTTTCCAACTTAAGAGTTTCTGCCTTTCTTTGGGTCGTATAGATGTCAACTGAATATCTCAGCGATTTGGACTCTGGCTTGGACAAAAATAGGCGATTTGTAAAACTATTTAATTTTGATCTTGTAATGGACATATTTCACTATTCTCTCAGACATAAATTCACCAATTCACTGTAAAAGATAATCTGAGTGCTGCATCACAGTACGTACCACATCTGTACTGAAGGTTGAATCACACAGGTTGTGCGTGGCTCTCTTACTTCCTGCCTCTTTGTGTCTCTCTCTGTCTCCATTGATTGCTGTTTGAAGGTTATAATCCTCCTGTTGCACCACAAAGGCCGCTGTAATTGTGCTCCTGTAGGTGTACATATGTTTGTATATACTTGACATTTTTGCAGCGGAAACACAGAATAGGTCTCGATTTTTTTTAATGCTAAAAAATCAATAGCACTCAAATGCCAACATCAGTCAGGAGACTTCTGACGAGAAGCTTCCATTATTTACTCAAACATGTTAGCTTAGCATTACAGGCTACACACTGCAGTTTGTATTCTACAGATTTCACAAGGTGTTCAATAATACCCAAATCGGTTGCAGTGTAGAATAGTGAAGAGCACAACCTGCTGATGGTATCATGTTCTTGATAAATAGGTCACGTTTATCAAAGGTAAACTACGTGTTCCCCCGTATCACAGCTTGTAAAATCTTTCTCCTAACTATAACGCATAGTGAAGCCGTTTTCCCCCCATTAGATACGTTTTCTAAGTATTTTCCCTGGCTTCATCTTTTGCAGGAAATGCTTATCTAGACTCTCTGTGGAGAATATAAAAACAGCCCCTGGATGTCTGCATTTTAAAATTCCCTCGTGTGCAAAGTCAGCCTTTTAAATGTATCTTTTTAATTATAAATGCCTGTTCCTAGAATATCTACGTGCAGTGGATTACGTGTGTTGGTGATATGTACGCCGTCTGGCACAGACTCAGAATCCCAAGGTGACATTTCTTTGAGCGGAGTGCACTAAAGGCCGCACCACCTCTCTGTGTGTGTGTGTGTGTGTGTGTGTGTGTGTGTGTGTGTGTGTGTGTGTGTGTGTGTGTGTGTGTTTGCGCGCGGAGGTGAGTGCTTGTGCGACACAGGGTTATCTGAAAAGTCACGGCTGGTTGAGTTTGTCTTTTGTTCTCTGTACACCTTCAGCCAATTAAGAGACAAGACTGACAAATCTCCTCCTCCTCTTCCTCTCCCCCTCCTCGTGTCCTCCTCTCTTCTCCTCCGCCTCTTCATCCTCTCTTCTCTTTACCATACTCTGCTGAGGTTGACTTTGACTTTAAAGATACTAGCCGTATGAGATACGTAATGTTATCTAAGAGAGAGGGATGATGACATTGTAATCGCATTGTGTTGCTTACTATCATCTCTTCTTTATTATTATCTCATCTCTCTCTCTCTNTAAAGGACACATTTCTTTGTCCGCCAAGCCACAATTCTCTCTACACTTCAGGGTGTGAATCCTTAAAGGCTGTTTTTGATGACAAGGTGCATTTCTTTAAATATAAACTACAGTATATTCTTCTTTCTCTTCACTGTGCTTTCTGTGGTCTCTTACAGAAAATAAAGAACTTTATCACAATATTCTAATTTTCTGAGACAGTCCTGTATGGCGTATTGGCAAAGATACTAGCTTTATGAGATATGTAATGTTATCTAAGAGAGAGGGATGATGACATTGTAATCGCATTGTGTTGCTTAAAGCATGCATAGAACTTTTTTGGCTCCGCTACAAACCTTAAAAATAGATGAGAAATCATTCATAAGGCCAAACATGAGAGTGCAAGATAAATGAGTGTGCAGTGAAATGGCTAAGTGTGAAGGCGAGGGGAAGAGGTTGTGAGTCTTTTCTGTCGAACAGCTCGGTTTTTACTTTGCCAATAAATGCAGAGTTTCCCATTAGTATCGCCTGCTGAGAAAAAGAAAGGCCACTTCTGAAGTATTAGTCAGGGGATCTGCATTAGGAGCCTCTAAAAGCAGTATGGATTTGGGGTTAGGAGAGGAAATAGATGTATAACATGATGCACCCTGGGATAGAGACATGGAGAAAGATGCATGGAGGTAAACTGGGAAGAAAAGCAGAAGGTTATTTTAATTTGATGTTGTGTCACTAAAGTCGAGGTATTAGAATAAGCAATAATAATGTGTGACTTTTCACGTAAAGGTTACCTATCATGCAAAATGCACTTCTGTACGTCTTTTATACATGAATATGTGTCCCCGGTGTTCCAGGGAACTCACCAAGTGTCAGAAAACACAACCCTCTCTATTTTCCTCCATACCCAAATCTCTTAAAAAGGGGCTGCAACGGATCTGATACAGACTGATCCAGATTTGAACACTTCTATGACGTCACAGAAGTGGCGCTACGGCTATTGGGCCAACTCCACCAATCAGGAGGAGACAGCCACGGACATTGCCGTTGGAAAGCGCTGGAGACGCTGTAGTACATATGCCAGGCCTGTAGATGGTGCTGTTCTCACAGAATCAGCCCATGATGCAAAGACAGTGTTAAATTGAGCGAAATGAGGAATGGCTAAAATGAATGATCTGTTTGGTATTTTGAAAAATAAAAAGTATAAATATGCCTTATATAGGTATGGTCCTACACTATATTATTCAAATATAGCATGATAGGTCCACTTTAAACCTTAAACCAATAGATAAGGACTTGATTGTGAGACTGTCAATATTTTAAAATGTGCTGTAGTTGAGGAAAGATGGGGCAAAATTGTGATGGACATTGTCTTAATAACTGTTATTACATTTTGTTTTCAAACCACTTGGATGGAGTTGGAATACTTTTACACCAATCTATGTTCAGTTTTCTGTTTTTTAATCTTCTCTCTTGTGTATCTGTCCTCATTATCACAGCATTGTTTTAGCTTTCTCCTTCATTTAGCACATTCAATGCCACAAACAACATCCTCCAGTCTGTAATCAAAAGGTATTTTAAAAGCAAATAGCAAAATAGTGATGTGTCGGGTGTTATCTATGATCATCATTACGCTCCACAGTTGTTCCACTGTTTCTCTATCTGTTCGTTTTTTACTCATACCTTTCCTTTTCCTCTCGCCTTCTTTTCTCTTTTTTTAGGCACGCGGAGGATCTGTTTGCTTATTCTGAACCAGCCTCTGGATAAGGAATACCTCCACATCTTATGGAATAAAGGTATATTTCACACATCACCAACACCCAAGCCCCCTTAACACCACTTAGACCCCATCCTCATTGGTTTGCACTGAGCATGTATTCCCCTGATGTTTTTCTGTCAGACTGAGCCTGTGTGTTTTCCACTTTGCAAAATATTAATGAATACCATGTCATTGAAAATGCCCCCTCTCTGCCCTCTGCCAACATTCCCTGTGAGATGTGTTTTAATGAAGTTAAAATACCCAACTTTTTTGGATACAAATGTTTTTAATTGAATTCATTATTGTGTTTATTTGACTCTTGTGTCAAATTCAGTTTCATTGCATTCACACCCTGAATAAGCACCCATTTTGTTGCCCCTCGAAAAACACTCACTTTCAGTATTATTATAATATAGAATAACGAGCATTTCTGGAAACACCTGATCATTTAACTGGACACATTCACCTAAAATGTGTTTGATGAAATAAGCGCTTTATTTGTCTGTATAGATGTTACTCATCATCTCTAGGTCATCAGCTTTCTACTTATTCTTAACTGTTCAATTGATCTTATTCATTCCAACCTGCTCAAAGCGCTCTTGTAGTCATTGTGCGGTGTGAAGGTAATGACCAGCGTACCTCCATTCAGACCCACTGAAGTGTGTATACATTTATTAAAGCTAATTGGTCGGTAAATAATGTGAACACAGGCCGTGGCACTAAGTGTCCACTCCACTCAGCGGGGGAGTGACTGGGTCGATGAAAACAAACCGAGTCGACCCAGACCTCTTTATTCAGAACACAACCCCCCCCCCCCCCCCCGCTGCTGAGAGGCTGTTTCATCAGAGGGGAAATTGTCTCTTAGTGATATACACTGACAGGAAATACATCTGCACATTTGTGTCTCACTCTAAATATGTTCTCATTATTGTGCAATACTTGTAGAAAAAGGAAAAATAAAATGTTCTGTATCGAGGGCAGCACATGTAAAGCACACGGCAACAACAGTCACTGAACAGCTCCACTTTTCATTCATAGGGTCTTTCCCATGTTTACTGCTCATGATGGGAGGACTAGTCTCTCATCAGCAACCTGCGGGTTACAGGTTGTTATGAAACCCTCAATTTCTAACCATTTATTTTTGTCGGGTAACTACAGAACGTGATTTGATTTCCTTCTGCTTGATGAATACTCAAATGTCCTTTATTAGCTTTTTAGAATCTGTGTATTAAGGCACACATTATTTTTAACTGAGCAGGGAAGTGTCCTGGATCACTGCTTCTCAACCGTTTTGATGTTGAGACCATGAAACAACAACAAAAGAACCACTCGCTTACTAAAAATGTAACACGCTGACTTATGCAACCAGGGAATTAGCTTATAAACAAAGTCACTTTGAAGATTAAAACCATATCAGATTGAATTTTAATGAACTCAGCTTTGATATTCTTATCAACTTTAAGAAAAAAACAAAAAGGCACCTGAGCTCGTATCTGGTTTTGGCTTTAAAGGAGCGTCAGAAAATGTTAAATGGCTTTAGAGAAAGCAATTACATCACCCGATTTTACACCACATGTTGCCCGGAGACAGATTTTTTTTTTTCATGGAAAGGCACACAATATAATACATTCAAGACAACTGGTTAATCAGAGATAGATAACATCAAAGCCTACATTGAAGGTGTAAAGAGGGCCCTGTTTTCTGCACAATATTTTTAAGGCACTATTACGCTCCAGTTTACTAGTTCTTCATGATGTTGCAGTTGCTATGAGACTTCAACTCCTTTTGAGCACCCATTTGAAGTTATTTATTTTGGTGAAACAATATCTTAATAGAAAATATTTCCCCTATAGTCAGCCTAAATTGTTTGTTTGCTTCCAACATCACAGGTATCACAGTTGTTATAAAAAATATGTAGTCCCTGTTGCTTTATAACTGACCCTACCAACAGTGTTTGGAGATTGAAAATATTTTATTTAATATCCTTATTTTCAAGAACAAATGTGACAGACCAGCAGAGTTTAAACTAAGTGGTTATTGTGCATTGAAAATCAAACAAAATTCTCTTTTTGCTGATTGTTTCCCAAATTCTTTCTTATCCCATTCAATATGTTCCAGTAATACAGGAACAAGAATCCTTAGGGAAAACTATGCATCAAATCCTCAGACCACCCAACTGTGACTACTGTTAGATAGATGAACATTTAAGATCACAGCATAACACAGCTTGATATTGTCATAAGTAATTTTCTCCCTCTTAGATAAGTCTGCTCATCAAAGTTTTTGGGTGGTTTCTGAAGTGCCACGAGCAATGCCGTGGTGTGGATTTCAGAAATTGGGAGGCTTTCATGCTCCGTTTTGCTCTTGGCAGCAGTGCTCATGGGACTTGAAGAGGTTTTGACAGGATGATGACAATGCATGAATGGCACATCTCAGATCTGCGGCTGTGTGATGGTAAACACGCTTGCAGCGGGATTGTCGTTCCTTACTTGATATGCCATGTATTTTTAATGTTGTTTATGGGATAAGCAGATGTCAGTGTGGGAATGAGTGTGTCTCCAGATGGTTGTTCTCCTGGAGGCCTCGTAGCCAGGTCTCCACCCTTACAGACACACACAAGCACACACACACTCTCAGGTCTCTGATGTGCTGCCCCTGGGCCCCCTCTCACCTGTGGGAGAGGCAGAGCAGCAGGGAGAGATGGAGGTAACGCTGATGAAAGGGAAGCTCATTTACAGGTGCCTGGTGGGATGTTGTGAAGTGGGATCAAGCTGCTTATCTCGCTCACGCACCCTCTCACTTATCTGGTCCATCAGTCACACACCTGCTCATCCAGTCAGTCACCCAGTCACTTTGAGTCACTCATTTACCTACCTTAAGATCCTTCACTTACTTCACTGAGAAACAACACAAACAGGCAAATCAATAAAGCAATCAGCGGAGGTAGCTCGCTCTACAAGACCAAGCAACAGACCTGTGCCTGAATTCATCATCTGTTGATGTGGAGCAGCTTGAAGAGGTCGAAGTTTATGAACATCCCCTTCAGCAGGTAGACTTTCAGCATACAAACGAGGCCGGTTGGGTGATGTCGCTGCAGGGCGTTGACATCATGGATGTAGAAAGAGCACTGCGTTGGAGGTGAGGTCCGGCTCATTCCTTTAAAAGTTGCTCAGTGACACATAATTCCAAAATGACCTCTCTTTCAAATCAAATCAAAGTGTATTTATAAAGCACATTTAAAAGCAATTTTTGGTCGGGCCAAAGTGCTGTACATGTAATAAATACTACAATCACATAAAAACACATTACTACAATCACAATAAAAGGCAATAAATTATAGCAGATATATAAAAAACACAGGGAAAAGTCAACAGCTCCCATACCTAGGCCAAGAGTAAAAATAAAATAAAGTTTTCATCCTGGGAAATGAATGTACATGCAAAAAAGGTATCCGCTCATTAACAAACATAGTCACTAGAAAAAAGTATTTTTGGGTCAAATGACATCACGTGACTGGCACAATTGATGAAGTACGCCTGACTCACTTCACACCCAAGTGAAGGTTGATGGAAAGACATCACAAGAGAGCAAATTACTGTTAATGGAAACAAAAAGAGAATGACACAAAGAGCTAGTGGAATTTGACTAGCAGAGTGGAGCTACAGGACAACAACATGACATATTTCAGGGAAATCCATCACATTTAAATCAGGGTTTAAAGAGCAGAGTGGATGTGGAGACAGGTTGACAGCTAGAGGGGGAGAGGTGGACTCGTAGATAAAGAAAGGCATCATAATGGGAATAATAATCTTTTCAACGCTCTCTGTGACCTTTTGCCCTCTCCTGCACTGCGCTAAAGCCCCGACCTGGCAGGCGTGATCCTCACCAATACTGCCTGCTATAGAATACATCTCCAACAGTGTGTGAGTGCATGGAAGTGGGCATGCATCTTTCCTGCATCACACAGCATAGATGATTAAAGTTGTGTTTGGAGGCGCGTTATCTCCGGCCCACCGTGTGTATCCGTCATCCTGCAGAGTGAGGGACAGCAGGAGTTGTGAGGCCTGCAGGGAGGGATTATTATGGCTAGTTAATTTAAAAGGTCATCTCCACTCTGCCTCCGCTATCAGAACCCATCAGGCAGCTCTGTGTGGGATTCTGTTTGTTAAACTCATACGCTCTGAGGAGGAGGAGAGGATGGAGGAGTTAGGCGGTTGCATTCACAATTGGTGAGTACTTCAACCAGCCTACAAGTCGTTGTTTTCAGCGGGAGAATAATAGTAATTGTATCTTGAACGCAGTGCAGATGGAGTGATAATCTTACTCCCACTTTTGCCGTTTACTTTGATGGAGACAAATTGGATGAGAGAGATCTAAGATGGAGACTCCCACAGGATGTTCCCTTAACTTTTGAAGCTTGACCTGCTTTATGTGGTGGGAAGTTGTCAAGAAGAGCGATCGAATAACTTCAGAAGAAGAACAATTTTTAACGTGAAGACACTTGAACAATTGAAGCTAGACACACACTGTAGGACATCAAGCTTAACAAAGGGAATAAAGTGCTTCACTCTGACTGTTACACTGACAGCGACATTAACATCAATTACTGATAAATACAAAGAACGAAAAGCTTTTAAATCAGGTTTTCTTTTTTTCTTAACCTTTGCTGTGTGATGTAGCCCGACGGATCATTTCCCACGCTTAAGCTAATTCGATTTTATAAACTTGACATCATTTCTTCTGACAGAAAGAGGCGGGAGGCTAGCTTCAAACACTGCGGGAAACACTGACATAAAGACAGATTGCAATAATAAATGAACAGCAAAATATTGGAAATAACTCAATGACATTTATTACATTTGCTTTTATACAGCACTGGTAGGGGCTGTTTTGTTATCGAAAATAGCTTCCAGTCTCCATGATAAAATGTTCCAGTTTGTGGTTGACTGACGGCTGTTTTTATTACACCACGGTCTGAATGCAGACTGAGATTACTAGACGGATATGGGAAGAAAATATGGTTAAAAAATGCATATA